GAGGCCACTTTACAAATTTCTGAAGTAGCCCCTGGTCTAAAATTATTGCCCCCCCCCATCTAGCCCAGTGTCCTGTGTTCCATTAGTGGCCAGTGACAGGGTGTGAACAGAACAGGGAATCATCTAGTGATCCAATCCCTGTCACCCATTCCCAGCGCTGACAAACAGAGACTAGGGACACCTTCCCTACCCATCCTGTCTAATAGCCATTGATGGGCCTAACCGCCATGAATCTATCTAGCTTTTTTTTGAACCCTGTTAAAGTCCTGGTCTTCACAGCATCCTCTGGCGAGGAGTTCCACAGGTTGTCAGTTCATTGCATGAAGGAAAAAGTCCTTTTGTTTGTTTTAAACCTGCTGCCTATTAATTGCATTTAGTGACCCCTAGTTCTTGTGCTATGGAAGCAAGTAAATAATGTTTCCTTATCTACTTTCTCCACACCAGACATGATTTTATAGCCCTCTCTCCTTGGAAGCTGCCGCCTTTACTGGTGACTGGCTTGCATCGGGAGCCCAGGGAACGCCTTCCGATGTAAATCAGACTCATTTCAATCTGAAACCCGAGAGCGGCTTATGGCCTTGGGGGAACACTGAGCATTCTCGCCAGAGGGGGACGAGCCCAAAGGAACTCCCAGTTCCAGAGCAACCCAACCTACACGTTTCACATTCAATGACCAGCTCCTGGATGTGGCATTGTGGTGAGTCCCGACCCTGCCTTCTGACCCCAGCAGCTGCTTCCTGGAGGGTCTGAAACAGTGGTGGGTATTGAGATCCGCACGGCGTGGGAGCCATCGCCTGTCCGCAAGCAGCACTGCAGCGTGGCTGAAGGGCAGCAGTGCAAACCGCACAAGCGAGTCTCTGGACACGGAACCCAGCGCAGGAAATAGCCAAGGCTCCTCACTCTGGCATCACCAAGAGGGCCCGGTTTGGCCCTGCTCTACCACCCCTTCCAGGAGCTGCTGCTGCTTCCTAGCCCCCCCCCCCCCCCCCCTCAGTTATGCTGCAGGGTATTAGTGGCAGCCATCAGTCACAGACCTGGCAAAAATGGACAGGTGAACTAACCAACTTTATTCGGGCTACATGAGGAGCAGTTAAATGCCCCTTGGTTTAGTGATAGCTAAACAATAAAAGCCATTGCCCAAGGCATGGCCCGGCATGGTGGGTAGGTAGCCCCTTAGCCATATCACCGGAGGGGTTTTCCTGCAGAAGCCCGGAAGATGGGCTGTGTATGGAATTGCATGCAGCCGTGTGTGTCTGTGGGGAAGCCAAACGCAGGGAGAAGGCAAGCGGGTGAGGAGAGCATCAGGGTAAGTGTGGCCCTGGAGGAAGCCAACAGAGAAACGTGTCACGTCTGAGGCTCTGGCTTCCGCTCCCTCTTCAGCCAGGGGGTCTCTGCTTTCAAGGCCTGTCTGGGACACATACGGGTGGGTTCCCTTGCAAAGTCCCTAGCACCTGGGCATCTACGTGTCCAAACCCAGGCCAGAAGGAAACTTGGAATCCAGCAGAGCCAGGCCCTGACTTTGCTACCGACTCCCTGTGGGACCTTGAGGCTGCCAAGCCCCGTTCCTGCGCCTCCACTTCTCTGGTAGAGGAAGAGCCTGCCCTTTGCAAAACCACACAGGGACCTGACTGCAGAAGCAGCTAAGCCGTCTGGTCGCTACTCGCGGTTGGTGTGTTATGGCTGCTCCCCCAGAAGGAACCTCTGCCTCGTTTGCATAACGAGCTATTTCCACTCCCCAGTGCCATCCTGCCCCCAGCACGTGTTCTTCCTGTCGTGGGCCTCCCTGGTTTCAGCCTGGGGGTGGATGAAGCCCACAGAAGGAGAGGAGTCGCTATGGCAACAGATGTTTATCAAGCCCGTGACCGGAGGCGCAGGGCTGGGAGAGGTGGATGGGGAGAAGGTGCGAGGGCTTCCAAGCGCAGCAGCAATGCAGCTGGGACGTTTCAGCTCAGCGCAGAGGAGACTGAGGGGGAGATGACGGGGTCTGTAACACCAGGCCGGCGTGGAGAAAGCGAATAAGGGAAAGTTATTTACTGGTTCCCACAATGCAAGAACGAGGCATCACCCAAGGGAATTAATAGGCAGCAGGTTGAAAACACACCAAAGGAAATTTTTCGTCACGCAGCGCACAGCCAACCTGTGGAACTCCTCGCCAGAGGATGTTGTGAAGACCAGGACTTTGACAGGGTTCAAAAAAAAGCTAGATACATTCATGGAGGACAGGTCCCCCAATGGCTGCCAGCCATGCTGGGTAGGAACGGTGTCCCTAGCGAGGGATCTCGTGAACCTCTTCACTCCCTCTGGGGCACTGGTCAGCAGGTAGGTCACTGGGCGAGATGGACCTTGGGTCTGACCCCGTCTGGCCGCTCTGTTCTTCATGCCCAGCTCTGTCTGCCAACCCCCGGCACATGCACTGGCGCTGGCGATGCTCCCCAAAGAGGCTGTTCCCATCAGTGTGGTAGCTAGCTCAGGAGAAATGGGTGGGCCCAGTGGCAGGAAGGGAAAGGGGAGGGCCCTGGGGGGGGGGGCAGGAACAATCGGGGCAGAAAGGATCAGATGGGCAGGAGGGATCCGGTGCCCCCTGAAGATGGGAGGGGGGCAAACAGTTCCACAGGAAGGGGGAGGGAGAGTCTGGTACTCTGTGGGGGGCAGGAAGGGGATGGGGGTAGGAGGGATCCGAGAGGCAGAAAGGGAGGGGGGACAGGAGGGATGCAGTGCCCTGGCAAGGGGGGCAGGTGGAACAGGGAACCCAGGGCACACAGACTGCAGGCCCCACCCATGGGGCAAAGGGAGGGACCATTGGGGCCTGAGCTTCGCCCATCCCACCTAACCCCACCTCAGTGGCTCCCCCAGCACCAGCCCGGCCCCCGAGGCCCAGCCCTCCTGCAGCTGGCACTGGGGCCGGAGACGGGGCAGCCGTGCGCAGCGCCTGCGGGAGAGACGTGACCAGGCCGATGGACGCCCAGCGGGGTCGGGAATCCCAGCCCGTGGATTCGGGGAGCTCTGGCCCCGACGTGGGCAGGGCTGGATGCTAAGTGGGTGGCCACAGCCCCCTCAGGCCCACCCACAGCAGCACCCCGGGTTTAGCCTCTCCTGGGGAGAGCTGGCAAGTTGGCCAGTTCCCTGGTTTCTCCAGAAAGTGCCCCCAGGCCACTAGGTCCTGCCAAAGCCCGTTAGAAGGCCCTTTGGTGAGGTGTGCCCAGCCCAACGGCCGAGTCCGGGAGCCGAGAAGAAACCCACCCCAGGCTGCTCTGAAAACGAGCTCCGGTCTCATCTGGGCCCTCCCAGCCGATGGCCTCCGGTGCAAGGGACCCCGGAGCAATTTTGAAGGCGCGTTGGGGTGTGTCCGAGAGAAGGCCTGGGCTTGTGATGGGGGAGGCGTGGCGTGGCGTGGCGTGGCGTGGCCTCGGCCCTGGCGCCGGGAAGGAACAGCGCCAGAAATGGAGCAGCAGGTAAATAGGGCTATTGGAGCAGGGCTGACCCTCCTCCGAAGGGGCCTGAACTTCACGTGACATGGCACAGGGCAGAGCCCTGGGAGGCCTGATGAGAGGCCGATGGGCTGCAGGAGGTGCCCAAGAGCAGGGCCCCTATGGCTCTGCACCCAACACAATGAGCCAGAGGGGGGGGGGGGCGAGAAGCCCAGCACCTGGCCAATGCATTTGGGGGCCTTTTCATTGGTCTCCGGGCTTTTGAGCCTTTCAGAGTCACGTTTACATTTTTCTCAGCACAGAGTCTGTGGGTTCAAGGCTCCGCACTCCCACTGAGCAAAGCTCTGACCAGGTCCCGCTTCTGGTCTCCCCTCCCCGCCCCCCCCCGTGGCAGCCAGGTGGAGAAAGGTGGCCAAAGTCACACAGCAAGTCACTGCTCAATAACGTGGTGATGCCTGTTCAAGCTACCATATATTTGAGGGAGCGTGTGTCCCCGTCTCTTTGTCCAAGAACGCCCCCCAGGTGGTAAGAGCCAGGGCCACCAAGTGCAGGACATGCAGCTTCCTCTGAGCAGAACTCAAAGCCAGGCCAAGGTTTGGTTGGGCCAGGACAAGGGGATGTGCCTGGAAAGGGACTAGTGCTCAGAGCACCACACAGAAACGAGACAATCACCAGGCATGTGAAAAAAAGGGCTGACTGGGCGTGACACTGCCCCCCAATCTGGGACTGCCCCAGCCCCGAGCCTCTCACCCCCCAGGCACTCTTTAGGGTGGGGCTGAAGCTCCCCCCCAGATTTCTATGGGGACATTGCTGGCTGTTCCCCTTTGTCAGGGAGTGATGGGAAAGTGCAGAGTTTGCTGCATTCCTCACTCTGGCCGGGGAGCACAGGGGGCAGATGAGCTGTGCTCTTTACTCTCACTCCCTTACAGGGCCAGGAAGGAGAAGAGCAAGCAGCCCTAGTATGAATCTCAGGGAGAGGGGGAGGCTTTGGCTCCCCCCAACTCCCCCCCCACACGAGTCCCCTGCCCAGAGCGCCCCTTCACTCCCCAACCCAGACTCCTAATGCAGATACATTTTCCTTTTTCGAAGAGAAGAGAAGAGAAGAGAAGAGAAGAGAAGAGGAGAGGACTGGAGCAATGGCAGGTAAATGTGCTAGTAAGCAATAAAGAAGATGGGAAGAGGTACGGGGGTTCTCCCTATCTCGGGGCAGGCGGATCTACCGCACAGGGACACGTCAGAGCGGGCTTGCTCTGGAACCCTGGAAAGGGCTGTGTTTTTTATCCCGTTCCCATCCCGACCCGCAATACCCACGCCCACCCACTCCTGCATTGTTTCTTGCATTTTTATCCTGCTCCCCACGGCAAAACCCTTCGCTCCCACACGAGACAGGTTTCCCTTGGCTGCTGGGTGAAGGAAAGGTTGTATAAATGCAATTCAAACACAGTTTTACTACAAACGAGTAAGACAAAGCTTGCTTAACCCAGTCTGTGTTTTCCTGCAAACCACCCCAGTCTTGCTTCTTCTCCCCCGCCCCCATCCCAATGGCAGGCACGGCCCATTTACCCATGCCTGGGTCCCGGTCCTGCGGCAGGTCTCTGAGTCGCTCCACAGGCTGCGGTGCGCCTGGGCCTGGCTGGCTTCCCAAGCGGGTCCGCCCCTGCGCGGGACACGGGGCTGTTCTTCCAGGGCTGCAGGGAGCTCGCTGTGACAACGGGACAATGCAGCAGAACTTGCACTTATTCCAGACCCGCGCCGAGACCGCGGCCGACAGTGCCGGGACTGTGGGGCTAGAAACCCCCCTTCTGCTGATGTGACTGACAACGCACACTCACATTCAGGGTGCTCCAGACACCCCTGGCCACCCCCATCATCCCCCCCAGCGTTG